TCTGGACTTCCCCTGCGACTATGGCCTACAGCAGCGTCTACGGCAGCAGCGGAACAACGAGCGCGAGTGCTGGGATGGAAAACTCACTTGGCGGCACCATTTGGAGCTAAAGTACATCTTCGGAAAAAGGCATTCGACAAGGCTGGACCGCTACGTAGAGAGCATGGACTTGAAAGCCGGTGGGTGGAAGGACGATACGTGGGACTTAGCACGATCGTTCATCATGGACATTTGGTGTACATACCCGCAGATGGTGATGACAAGGAGAAGTTTTTACACACAATGCATGTTCGTCCGGACCTTGTAGATCCAGGGGGACCAGAGGGTGATTTCCGAGTGGATCCAGAACAAAAGCCCAGGAGGAGGATCGATAAGAAAATTAGTCCAGACAAGGTTCAGATGCGGGCGACTACGGCTTCCTCGGAAGATGCAAGTACAATGGCTACAACCGGAGCGGAGGAGGTTTTACGGGAATGGTCATGTGAAAAGGCTATTGAGCTGGTTAAGGACCTTGCTCGGTTGGGTTTCTTTGAAAAGAAGAAGTTCGGTGTTTACAGACATGGTGGAACTGTGGGCTGGCTTACAGGACTTGTCGAGTATCCTCAAGTGGCAAAAGTACTTACCAAGTTGGTGGTAGAAATACAGCCAGATGCTACCTTCACCTCAGTCATGGTCTCCCACAATGGCGTGAGGGGAATGCACAAGGACTTCAACAATGATTACAAGACCCAGAACTATGTCATCCCAATCAATCGCCCTGAAGCAGGTGGTGAGCTATGGGTTGAGCTGACGGCGGGGGATATCGTTAAGGGTGTGATCGAACGGCGTGAGGTGAATAGCACATCCGTGTATGGTCAGCTACTACCTCTACGACAGGATCAGTGCATAATGTTTGGTCCCAAGAGACGACATGAAGTCAATGCGTGGGAGGGTGACAGAACAGTGCTTATCGCCTATACACCAAATTGTTTGGGAAAGTTATCACAAGACGATCTTCACGCTCTTCATGACTATGGGTTTCCGGTTCCACTTTCTCAACTACCAGAGTTTTCGGGCAACTTGAGTATTGAAGGCCCGGAGTTGGCCATCAAGGAAAGGAAGCTGGAATCACTGACTGAGGAGGAGGACGATGTGGAATGGTCAATGTATCTGGACTTAGAGCCGGGACTGGTGAAGATATTGGATGCAGCAGCAAGTCATGAAAGTTGCCCACGGATGTTAAAGACGGAAGTGAGCTATACAGCCAGGATAGAAGAAGTGCTACGTGGACTAAAGGGACCCCTGGACGTTGTGCATACAGTGAATCCTGAAGAAGTGTACGCAAACCTACAAGCATGGCGACCGGCAATAGAGAAAGAAATGGCTGGTGTGGAGTTAGCAATTCAAAGGCTGCTACCAGGTACAGAGGAGAGGCGTACATGGTTAAACAAGCCAAGGGTGCAAAGGCTACCAATGAAGTTCGTGTTCACTGTGAAGCCCAACGATCAGGCGGTTCTGAGCGATCCAAGGTCGTGGTACAAACGCAAGGCCAGGCTCGTTATATGTGGAAACATGGCGTCCAATGATGGAGGCCAAGTGTACACAGAAGCAGCGCCTGCAGAAGCAGTTCGTACAGGACTTACACTGGCGACAAAAAACAGCTGGAGCATAGCAATTCTGGATGTAGTTGCAGCGTTCATCAAGACACCATTGGGAAGATGCAGCTCAGATCCAGTTGTGGTGGCACAACCGCCAAGGCTACTGGAAACGCTTGGATTGACTGAGCGTATGGAGCTGTGGGGACTCATACGTGCACTATATGGACTACGAGAGGCCCCTATGCTGTGGGGAAATTTTCGTGATGATACGCTACGTGCACTTGGTCCTCCAAGGGGTTTGAAGTGGCAGCAAGGAAGAGCTATCACCTCGTGGTGGACGTTGAAAAACGCAGAAGGGAAGGTCGAGTTCATCATGTTGGTTTATGTTGATGACTTTATGCTGTTTGGTCCGAGGAGACTAGTCCAGGAGATCGGGGCTCTTATCAAGAAGGTGTGGGAGACGTCAGAGCTGAGCTTCCTGGGAGAGGGGGATCCAATCCGGTTTCTGGGTATGGAGC